GGAAAAACTTGACAGCAAAATTGAGTCATCACAAGAATAAAGGTCAGTATAGAGGGCACAGTTACTGACAGACTCACTGACCCTTAGCTAACCTATCGGTAGGAAGCTCCTTGGTGTCAAGGTTATCACTAAACAGAACGAGACAGGCAGAAACACAATGGGAAATAATTGACTCCGGGGTGAAGCAGCTCATTGAGGGGCTTAGCCTTAGTCATTCTTTTTCCTGGCTGAGTGACTTCTGTTATAGCAGAATGTACACTGCAGGAAGAGTCAGAACACTGAGGTCGAGTCCATGACTCTGCTGTCAACCGGGCACGTAGTTCTGGACAATGCCCCTGTCCTTCTTCAGGCTCAGTCTCCCATCTAGTCCACGGGTAGGGTGATTCTCTTATCCTGATCAAGAGCTCTGTAGCTACAGGCTTAAAAACACAGAATTTTGATCAAGTGACAAATGAGGACCCAAGGTGGTAAGGGCCAGGGCAGTGGACAGAGGCTCCTGTGGGCATCCTGGCTGACCCCAAGCCTCTCGTGATCGAAGGCACGAGAGTGAACTCGCCCTGCGCCAGCTGGTGGAGGCAGATATGTGTGGGACCCAGAAGCTCCTGGATGATGCCACCCTGGCCAAGTCCGACCTGGAGGCCCAGCAGGAGTCCCTGAAGGAGGAGCAGCTCGCCCTCAAGAGCAACCATGAGCAGGTATGGCCACAGGTGCCCAGACCCCTGTGGGGAGGGTGGGCAGACAGGCAGTCCCCCCTGCCCTCTGCCCCACAGTGCTCAGATGGGAGCCTGGGCCCAGTTGGCTTCAGGATGGGGGGTTGGTGTGGGTCTGAGGGCCCAGATGGCCTCTGAGGCATGTGGGGGTCTTGCCTTGCACATGAAGAAGGTCTCCAAATAGGCGCCCCCCACAGGGCCCTGGGCAGGATTTTCCCATTTGCTTGCGTGTGGGGCTCCCTCCTGCCGCTTGTCAGGGGCGGGGCCGGCTCTGTCTGCTCTGTCAGAGGCATTGCCTTGTCAAGTCACCATCCCTTCTGTCCCTTAGGAAGTGAAGATTCTGAGGAGTCAGCTGGGCGACAAGCTCCGGATTGAGCTGGACACTGAGCCCCCCGTGGACCTGAGCCGGGTGCTGGGGGAGATGAGATGTCAGTACGAGACCATGGTGGAGACCAACCGGCAGGACGTGGAGCAGTGGTTCCAGGCCCAGGTGAGGGCGGACTACTCAGCAGGGGGGACCTGCTTTCCATCTGGGCAGGGAGGTAACCTGTGTACTTGTGCCGCAGTCCGAGGGTATCAGCCTGCAGGCCATGTCCTGCTCTGAGGAGCTGCAGTGCTGCCAGTCGGAGATCCTGGAGCTGAGATGCTCGGTGAATGCCCTGGAGGTGGAGCGCCAGGCCCAGCACACCCTGGTATGTGGCCCCTTCACCCTCCCCACACTGCAGTCACTCTGCCCCAGCAGCATCTCTTAGAAATCTCTCTAATGAGTTCCTCTGTCATTAAGGAAGGGCTCATTCTGGGTCCCCTATCCTGGTGGAGATGCCTTACTGTCAATCCAGTTTGAGCTAGGGAAGTATTTCCTATAAAAAGCCAGTTCCATTTCCTTTTGAAGATACTATGGCATTCAGGCACTCATTTTATAAGATTTTACTGGCTGCCTGCTTTTTGTCAGGTACGGGGGGATACAGGGATGAACGTGACACAGTTCCTTAAGTTAGATCTGATTTTTGTTTATGGAAAGAAATGCTTATATAGACAGTGACTTCTCTAGAGATCTTGGAATGTCCTATGGATGTCTCGGAATTTGCCCCACGCCTGGTGGGTTTGGCCAGGATTTTCATTGCTGAGTTTTGGGCACCTGGGTCTCTCTTCCCCCTGCAGAAGGACTGCCTGCAGAACTCCCTGTGTGAAGCCGAGGCCCGCTACGGCACGGAGCTGGCCCAGATGCAGAGCCTCATCAGCAACGTGGAAGAGCAGCTGTCCGAGATCCGGGCCGACCTGGAGCGGCAGAACCAGGAGTACCAGGTGCTGCTGGACGTCAAGGCCCGGCTGGAGGATGAGATCAACACGTACCGGAAACTTCTGGAGAGCGAGGACTGCAAGTACGTGTGATCTGAGCCATGCCTCACTAATCCGTATACCTGACTGTCATGCGATCCCTCAGAGATCACCCAAGTCCTTGCAGAACTCGTAATGTACAGGCCTTCCTGTGCATCCTCACTCAGGGTCTCACTAAGCTCTCCTGGTCTGTGCAGATTAGATCCTTGCTAGAGTGTTCCATAAATGATGGCCAGGTCCCTAAGCCACATCCGCCCCAAGGACACCTGGATCTGGAAAGACAGAGGACAGCAGAGCTGTTGGTGTACATCCTCTGGTCCTTGCGCCGTGTTGGAGGCAGGATTGGCCTCCGTCCTTTTGGTCTCATTCTTCTTTGTCAGTCACGGAGACAACTTTTATCTCCTGAGCCTAACTCTGTCTCTCTCTCTCCCTGAAGACTGCCCTGCAATCCCTGCTCCACACCTGCCTCCTGTACCCTTTGTCCGGGCCGTGCCCCCGCCGCCTGTGGGCCTCCCTCTGCCAGTGGAGCTGTCACCTGCAGCCGATTCTGAAGGTCCAAGGTCTTATGCAGGAGGTGAAGGCTGGTTGCACCGGGGTCAGGAGTGCCCTCACCGTGCTTCGTCAGGCGTTATTTTCCTCAAATCAATGGGTAGCAGATACTTCCAAAGGTGCGGCTGGATTCCTGTTTGTGTCTTCAAGTGTACCTTTTTTTTCTGAAATGCCGTCATTCTCTTCCACTGGCTATTGTTTTCCCAGTGTCACTTCTGGGTTCTTTCAGTTCTATTTTAGTGTTTCAGAATCTCCTAAAATGTAACTGGCTCTTGTGCTAAATGGTCAATAAACCTTCCTGTATCAAGTGCCTCTGTGGTGTTGGCTGCGTGTGAGGGGCTGGCCCTTCTGTCCTCGTGTCCTCATTGGTCCTGAAGAATCACCGCCAGGAGCTCTTGGCGTGCTGGGTGGAGGCACTTTCCTAACATTGAACATGTACTTACCTTGCCCAGAGATCCCTAGAGACTGGTGAAAAGAAGTGGTGATGCCAGCTGCCAAGTCTGAATTCTTTCACAACAGCTCAGAACCGACATGTCCCTACCATGGTTTTGGCACCTTTGGCCTCTTGGTATTTTGTCCAAGAGCAAAATCGCACCACTGGGGGTTCCAACCTAGTCAAAGAGAGAGCATGTTGAGAACTGCTTGGGCCACGTTTCCAGGCTGTTCTTCTCTCTCCAGGTTGGCCCTTTTCACAGAGGCATAGGCCTCTCTTAGACTTGGAGGCCCACCATGGGGCAGTGGTCTTGGTCTCGGCTCACCTCTCTCCTTTTGGGTGTAGAGAGATGCTGCTGCCTGGAAGCTGCTGGTGCGAGGCCTGCAGCTGCCACTCCAGCTCCTTGCCCACCTCTCAGATGTGGCTCTGTTAAGGTCAGGGCAGTTCACAGGCAGACACAGCCGAGAGCAGATGGAGGGACAGCCCTGGGAGGCTGTGCTGCCTTCTGTGCTGTGCTTGTCAGTTTAGTTTTTGGCAAGCACATGGCATGTCTGAAAGAATGAAACTCTTGTAACTCTCACTCCCAGTGCAAAGAGCAGTGCACAGTCGGTCCTGTCCAGTGGCAGCTTAGTGCGGCGGGAAGTAGATCATCTCCAAGGTCCAGCAGACCTGGATTCAAATCCCACCTTGGTGACTCTAGCTGAGTGATGTTGGCCAGGTCACTACACACTCTTGAAACCTATTCCTGTTTGTTAAAAGTTGGATAACTGTGTTTCCCTGTCACTGTGATGGAGGAGGGGGCCATGCACATAAAGCTCTCGGCATCTGGAGGTGCTCAGGGGATCCAGGGCTGCTGGGGCTCCCTGGGAGGCAGAAGGCACTGCTTTTCCTTCTCAGAAGGGCAGAGGGGCTGAAGAGGTGGCTCCAGGACCCCACAGCAGCATCGAGGGCCCAGACTCCCTCGTGGGCGGTCTGGAAGTGTGACCGTACTCCTTGCTCACATGCGCACAGTAACAAAGCCCCCCACTGCTATTATCAGAGCTCAGTTTCTCACTCTCAGTGGCCTTACTGAAACCAAGAAGGCATTCTTTGGGCTGTCAAAGGACAAGTCTGTCCAGTGGGCTCTTGTGGGCTCCTCCTCACAAGTAACCAGAGAGAGTTGCGTTTTAAGGAGTGGCCACAACCCCTCCCGTGTAATAGGGTTGTGGAGATCTGACCTGACCCCACCTTTCTTGGCTAGGTTTCTTGGCCTTAGCGAGCCCTATCTGTGAGGCCCCATGGCTGGGTGTAGCAGGAAGGGCCATGCTGATGCAGGTAGGTAACCACCTGGCCAGAGCACAGGGACATTATTACTGCATGCAGAGGGCTCAGGTGCCCTCTGGCCCCCAACCCCAGTCGTCTCTTCTTCCAGCTGATTCTCCCACCCGGCTCCACCTGCCTCTGTCTGCATCCCTGCATCACTACCCCTCACCGACTAGATCCTCACCAACAGGCCCTACATGTGCTACCTGGTTCCGTCGGGCCACAATAATTGCAACCAGGCTGTTTGGGGGTGGCTATTAATTTCCTTCCCTGGAGACTCTGGCTCCCTGGCTGAGGACCACAGCCAGTTTGAGGCCACCTCATGCTGAGCCTGCGTGGGCAACAGGCTGATTTGCAATCTTTCCTTCCAGGCTTCCCATGATGACACCAGTCGGCCCCATGGGCCCCTGTACTCAGGTGTTTTTTAAACCCCAAATGCCTTTTCCCCACAAAGCCCAGTGGAATGGAAGGGAGTAAGGGTGGCTGGCTGCAGACCCCTGGGGCTGACCCTGTGCCTTGGGGAAAGATCCTATTCTGTCCCCATCATGTCTACACTGGGAAGCCAAGACAATCCAAGTGGAATTCTGAACGTTCCTGAACAGGGGTGCTGCTTTTTTTGCGGTCCCTGATGTGTGGTGCTTAACATGGATGGTGAAAACCACATCCCCTCTGTCCCCTCAGCATCTTCCTTTCATCCTCCTGACTAAGCACGAAGTCAAATTTGTCCCTTCCTACAGCCACTCACAGTGATCTTCGTGAGCGCAACTAATTGGACCATTTTTCATTTTCCTTTGTTTCTGTCTAATTTAGCGTTTCTCTACCACACCTTCCTCTTAATAAATGTGAAGATGCTGTGTCTTTTTGCTTAACGGCTTAACTTTCAAAAACAGAAATGCCAAACTCATATCACGACTAAAAGCTTATTTAGAATATAGGTGATGCTTGTTTTCCAATGACACTCCCTCTACCCCAAATGTCTCCCCTGCCACCTGTTTTGGAAATTCCAAACATCACCTTTCCTCTAGGGGGAGTTGTGTGGGAGGGCAGAGATGCTCCTGTTTAGAATCACCGTTTCTATTCAGGGATGAGCCCCTGCGTTAACCCATCTGCTTTACCTGCCATGTCGGGTAAGCAGGGTTTCTCAGTGAGTCCACACAACTCCTGGCCCCAGGCCTTTGTCTCTGATCCCCTAGTGGCCACTTAGCTACATTTCACACTCATTGTCTCCAGACTTGAATGCAGCTTCTAGCCCTTCCTGCCCTTTCTGCCCCTTCTCCGTCTTTCCTGCTGCCCAAGTTTCTTCAATCTTCAAGCTCCAGAAAAAATTCTGATGCCTCCCCTGTCTTTCTGAGGCACAGTCACTCCTCTTTCCTCGAGTTCTGGGACCTAGCTCTCCTTCTGCTCTCAGTCTTTTCATGTCTGCATCCCCCACGGTGCCTTGAGAAGGGCTTGGCTATAGTGGGAGCTCGGGAATATTGGATGGTTGGAGTAAGTCACTGGGACAAGTGACTTACTGAGGGGACAACCCTGCCTCAGTGAACATCATCCACATCTGTATACAGAGTAGTTATGAGGAAGTGTCCCTGTGGGTCTCATTGACTGTATACAGAACCAGCTGGTGGCTGGACGGTTGTCATGGCTGAACAGTTGGTGGCACCAGCATGGTTCATACAAAAGTTCTAGGCGAGAAGTTTTTCTGGGCCATCTACCGGCAGCCTTTTCATCTGAATTCACCAGAAATTCCATTCTAGGGCCCCCACTTAAGACTGACGCTTATCACAAGAGGCTCTTTCTAACATCCCAGAGTATATCCAGAGAATATTCCCAGGATGGCAAGGGGCCCTAGAACCATGCTAAGATAAAAATGAGGAGTGAGAATGATCACATCTGTCACCAACAGCTAAAGGTCTGCCATGTGGCAGAATGATATCCTCTGTGGGACCCCCTAGGAATTAGAAGGTATGTGAACTAAGGGCAAACTCTCTGACTTCCTTGCTAATGTGCCCCCAGCCTCTGGCACTGCTACCTGCCTGGCACGGAGCAGGTCCTCAGTAGACATTTCCTGAAAGAGTGAGTGAAGAAACAAATGGAAGTGGTAGGCAGAAGCGCAGGGAGGTAGAGTTGCATCCGCATGAAGACTTTCTAACAATACTCTATATTGTGGGAGGTTTACAATTTAGCCAGCTTCAATTTATTTCTGGATCCCAGTGTCTCATACAGAGCCTGGGAAGTTGTTTTGTGAGGGACTGAGCTGATACCAGCTGTCCTGAAAAATAATGGATCGGACAACTAGCTGGAGATTATCAGAAGGGACTGAGCTCCAAAGGGTCAGAGACTAGAGGACACTGAGATGCCTTTTATCCTGGAGATTTATGGTTTAGGGCCAGCTGAAACACATACTGCTGCCTCAAGGGCCTTCCTTGTGGATTCGTTCATCTTGGGAATGGGGTCAGGGCAGGACCTTCGTTAGCATAGACTCCAAGCTGGCCAGCTGCCCTTTCCCAGAAGGTATTGAACAACTGGCCACCTGCTTATTTGTTTTAGAAATTGAGGAGGTCATAAAGCTTCTTATGTTCTGAGTGTGTCTGAAGATAAAGGAAATGTAAATTCGTTCTAGAGTCTCCCAAGCAATGGATAATCAAGGTAGGTACATCTCAAAGAAATGTAAGGACATTTCAAAAGATGAAAGATCAAAGTACTCAAGTTGTGTATCTTCCATAAACAAGAGCGAGGAGGGACTCAGGCTGGGGAGAGGGTCAGTAGGAAGGAAAGATGCCTGGGAAGAAGGCAAGGCCCTGAGAACAGACATCATAAAGTATTAATCACTGCCCGCCCTAATTAGCCTGCAGACTCCAAAGCACAGCAGCTTAATTTTATTTCCTAAAAATTACAAATTACCCAGTTTTATTCACGAGCCTTTTCCCCACTTCCACAACCACTTATCTATTTTACTTTTACACCGGGAAAGTCTTAATTGCCAAAATCAGTTTGATATGTTGAATTTTCCTTTTAATTCACTTTTAAAATTTCTCAGTTGCTTTCTTCTTTGACTGATTACTGAAAAGTGTGCTGGTTTTTGAACTCCAAAATCAATTTGGAATTTAGGTTTCTTTTCCATTGTTTTTTGTTTTCTGCTCATATTCATAAAGGAAAATTTCATCTCCTATTATTTTCCTTCAAAAGGAATGTAGGTACCTATTTTTCCTCCTATTTAAGAAGGGTCAGATTCCAGGGAAAATCCCTTACTTAAAGACTGCGTTCAGTCCT